CTGACTTATTGTGAACGAAAAGACACATATTCACCCGTTTTCTCATAAAAAATAGATACATTTCTAAATATCACTGTCCTGGTCACAAAAGCAAAGTTTGTGGGGAATAATAGCCATTTTCTATACTTTTTAGGCATAGGCAATTAAGAAATACACTTACTACCCAGGAACAAAAATCGTGTTACATAGTGTAATCACTTGCAGTGAAAGCAATTTTCGAGTGACAATGAAAGTGTGTCGTGAACTAGTGATTTGAGATGCAAGGCAGAGAGTTCTTCCGGGCAACTGTATTGGAACATTGCATTTCAAGTGGAATCTGTCAAAAATAAATTGCACCATTTCATCAAATCCTATTTCAAGCCACGTATTGTTTTGATCACCTATTGTGAACAGGACGTGATTCACATCCAACGCTAGGGCTTTTGGACAAGAGTCGCCAATGAGAACGTGTCAAAAAAAGTTCTGTTATACATCACCTGCATATGAACATATTGGCAGTACACCGGTGGTGCACGGTATATATATAAAAAAGGAAAATTTTCGCAATTTTTTTCCCCCCCGCGATTCACAACCCCAGTCCGAAAATCTTGAGCGGTGGCAGTGGTTCTCGTGATGTCAACGCAGTCGGAAGACGAATGTCAATTGAATTTTTTTTTTCAGACTTTTACGAGGACCGGTGTGTGTTTTATGCTGCACCTTTGTACCACCAATATGTCCATAAGTTGTTAGCTGCATTGTTGCTGAATCGCATATAACTAGGTTGCCTTGTGGGAATGCCGACAATGACAGTCGGCCAAAGCTGCCTCCTCATCTGTTCAGAGTGTCACCGGGCTTCAGCTGACGTCACCTTTCACCCGAGAGCAATGGAGGGGCGCAGGATATTCGTTGAGTTTATTTTGATTTGTTACACGGATGATCCCGTTTAGCCAGTTGCCAGGCTCATTTTACACGGGAGATCCGTGGTGCATGAGCACACCAGCAGCAACAAAAGACAAAGGATGGTGGCACACATCATTAGTAACGCTAAAACTATAAGCTGAACTATGTTTTATTTTTGGCAGGTAAGGCCCACTGAGCTATACAGCTCATTTTCAGAAGCAACTTGGCAACACATAATAGCCCAACGAAATTGTTTTTTAACGTGTACATCTATAGAAGCCAAATGTATGTCGAATCGAAATGTGGAGGGAAAACGGTAGAACCCTGAGGAAAATTAATACGACCAGGGTCAGGATTGAATCTATGCCCTCCTGTATACCAGGCAAGGTCGTTAACATCTCACCACCATGAGGGTGGCTGCACAAAGACAGCCACCTTTATGGGTACTTGTCCGAAACATCTTTGCTTTGTTCCCTGGCTACACCAGAGCCCTGTAGGCAGGACCGGATTAAGGCATGGACTTTAGGGGCTGCAGCCCAGGGGCCTCGGAAAGCTGGAGGGCCTCCAGAGATTAAGTGAAAAGTTATTTCATTTGTGAATGCTGAATTTTATTTGTTGTTAGCTTTGTAAAAAAATATTTTATTTTTTATTTAACTTTGTTTTCCTTTTGAAAATATTACTGGGGGCCTCACAATACCTGTAGCCCAGGGGCCTACAAAATCTTAATCCGGCCCTGCCTGTAGGATAAGATTTCCTGAAATTCCAGCTCTCACGGCCTACTACGTGCACGATTCACCGTTTACCAATCTTATTTGTTCATTTTAACATGTGCCTTTGCGACCAATATTATCTATAAGAGAGGTTTTTTTGGGTTAGATCGCGTAAATATAAATTTGTTGTTGACCCGCCACCACTCAACACAGCCAATTAGTAAGGTTTGTCACGTAAACAAAACATGCTAATTCGTTACTATTTCAGCACACCGGTTTGTTGGAGAGTAAACCCACAACATCTACAATAATAATTACATGTTCAAATCGTTTCTTCTAAAATGCAAATTCAAACATTACACAATGGCACTTGACGTGGAGAGTGCTCATTAAAATTAAGATCACTGTCTGAATAATTCAACTTAAGATCTGTATCCTTACTCTTTTGTCACTTGGCACATGTTTACCACTCATAAGGCTCACACAGGATAAGAACACTTTTTTCACATTTGAATGGATAAGACTTGTAAAGATGTAGGCTGATGTGATACGAGGACTCACATTAGGGAAAGCCTGATATGTGGGGTAATGTTCACTTTGTTTTTGTAAATATCCCATGCTTCTGGTCCATATGCCATAGCAGAACAGGTAACATACACTGATTCAAAACCTTCTTTGGACAGATTAGAGAAATGCAATTGGTAAGATAACTCAATGGAGGTGTAATGTTAAATTACCAATAATTTCAGCCAATGTCTGCACCTCTACATTTCCAAGGTACCTATCTCTACTTGCAGACACAATCCAGGACCAATTGCATGGTTTTTCAACCCAAAACAGTGAAACCGTAATGAGCAAATCATTGCTTCTCTGGGTCATTGGGTTAAAATGCGTAGGGAAAATTTTTCATTCATTTTAGTCCCAGGCAACAATAAACATAACCACACCTCTCCACACTCGGCCGAGTGTTAATTCGGTGCACTGTCGTTCCATATGCCCGTTTTCCCCCATTATAGATTATGTGGCCACGTGCAAAAAAATATCGTGTGGGGCTCAGATCTGCTCCTGTGCCAATGTTGGGATTCTGTTGCATTTGGCAGGTGCTGGTGCTTCCATAGGTTGACTACTGCCGACACATTGAAGATTCTAGTTCACAACCTTCCCAAAAAATGCTTACACTCTTCAATAGTTTGAATCAATTAATCTAATTGGCAATGGGTGTCCATTTGGTCGATTCATCCTCAAGTCCGTACCCGTGCTTGCGCAGGCATAGTTGAGGGTTATAAACTCACTAAAGGTTCAACGTTTAATTGTATGGGCTATTGGTGCAAAGTCTGTTAGTAAGCACCTGTCTCCCCCATTCTAATTGTTGACACACAGTGCCAAGTACTCATCATAAGCTTGGCCAATCTATTAAAACTATTTAAACTAAACTATTTTTTTTTATTTTAACAGGTAAGGCCAACTGAGCTATTTAGCTCTTTTTTAGAAGCCATCAGGCCACAAATGATCGCCCAATGAAGTGGCGTATTATGTGAAAATGTATAATAGCCAAATGCTCTTAACGCATGTTTCTACATGTGGAGGGAAAACCGGAGGACCTGGAGAAAAATCCAAGCGGCCACGGGGAGAACATGCAAACTCCAAATATACAGGTGTCAGGGTCGAGATCGAACCCACGATCTCCTGTATACCAGGCGAGGTAGTTAACATCTCGCCACCATGGTGCATCTAAGGGAGGTGACAGGCCACATTCAAATACCAATTGTTGCTGGTGTTTTGCATGATCAGAAATTGAACTTGGGCTGCTTGAATCGCACTTAAACCACTACAACCACAGTTCCCTTTTGAAATAACCCATACAATCATTGTATAATCATAAATATCCCACAAAACCACTTCAACGTTAATTCAGGAATATTATAAATGGTTATGGATGCATATGTCGAACACCAATCAATATAGCATGGATTAATATATTGTTCATGTTTATGTATACAGTATGCATACTGGCATTTTCCCCCTTTTATGATACAATTCATCCTGAGTTCAATACAACAGAAATAATTGTCATTGTTTACGTTGGCGAATCCCACTGAAAATGCCTGGTTTGAACTCTTGAAGTCATACTAACTCTGGCCCCAAATGATATTGTGATGTGTATTGAGTGGAACTTTTACAAATATATCATTCACAACGCATGTTTTTTTTTCTATAATCGCCACCCATTTTCCCCGACCTTTCCTATAAACACCCTGTTCCGTGTAATATTGATTTGTCTTCTTCATTCTTCAAAAACATATTTCAGTGAGGCATGGATATTTTTATTTGGGTCTAGGTTCGAATCTGGGCAACTGCCCTCTTCAAGGTGCAACAGATAAGCGTTCATACATTTCTTGAATTGAGCGAGGTTATTATAATTATTGGGGAAAAGGAGGCAATCGGAAAGGATTCAAAACTGGAGGACTGTGAGAAAATAAATAAGAATTAGAAGTGCTGTGACCTCCAGTGCGGTGGATGAGCACAGTGTGGGATTTATCGTGCTCGCTTTGGCAAGTGCTCGCTTACAGTGCTAACCCCTAAGCTCTGTGACGCCGGGTCCACGCCTTGAGCAATCAGCTGCACCACTCAGTTGAATACAACTCAATGTATAAAAATACATACATATTCGGGGGAAGGACAACAAACTAATCATGTGGGTATGTCTTTGCAACCGGTCGTGAGCAATTGCACAAGCGGTTGCTTACAGCAGAGACAGACTTTACTTTTCCAGCGGACATCTACTCAGCGATTTGTTTGTGAAAATAAAAGCAGGATGCTCGGTGACACGGGTTGTCTTTGCCTGCACGTTTTTGAACGATGATTGGTTGTTTAAATCCCGCCTACACCCTTTTAAGTTTGAAAATATTACACAGTAAGGTGAATAAATTACAAACCATAATTACATGGTATTTTTTAACAATGAATCGGTGACCGGACTGAGCCTGCAAACGTTATACCCCTGGCAAACTTGGTTCAACCTGAGGTGCCACGGTGGCAATATGCTAACTACCTTGCCTGATATACAGGAGGTTGTGGGTTCGATCCTGATCCTGATCCTGACGCCTATATATTTGGAGTGTGCATGTTTTCCCCTGGTCGTGTGGATTTTTATCCGGTTCCTCCAGTTTTTCTCTCCACATTTATAAACATGCGTTTAGAGTATTTGGCTGCTATACATTTCCACATGATCAACCACTTCGAGGGGCTATCATTTGTGGCCAGGTCGCTTCAGATAAAGAGCTGTATAGCTCAGTGGGTCTCAGCTGGTAGAATAAAACAAAAATCATAGTTAACTCCTCGCTCAGAAGTGGACAAAGCAGCTGTGCTGGCAATGAGGTTGAAATTCTGCTTGTGTGCGCGCGCGAGCAGGGAGGAGACTCGCGGTGCAAGCGCGTGTGCCAGTCTCGCTCGGACCTGCGCATGGGCGACTTCAGCATCGTGGGCAGCTTGCCGCAGGACTTCGACCTCACCAACTACGACTGCTACGGCAAGCCAGTGGAGGGGCTGGCCACGCGGCCCAACGGCAGCATGCGTGGCGGCGGTGGCGGCGGCAAGAACGCCAAAAAGCCTCCGCCACCCAAGGCGGTTATCCCGATGGAGGCCAAGCGCGTGGACCATTACGCCCGCGCTCTTTTCCCCTTCTGCTTTTTCTTCTTCAACATAATCTACTGGTCCGTGTACCTTTGATGGTGGGCCAGCTCGGGTGTACGTTGGTTTTTTAAGGGTTTTATTTTTTCGATGAGGTGGATGTGAAGGAAGGCAAAGGCAAATCCTTTCACCTAACGTCCCACCGTTATTGCCAGTCCCTTAAAAGTACTGTGACGGTAAATCATGGGGCTGAGATGGAGTCGCAACATTTGGTGTTTGTGTGAAGCAGCTCTGTTAACCTTGCCTCCACCAATGAGACGATTGTACAGGAACATTGGGGATCTTTAAAAAAAAAAATGACCATAGCAACATTGACTCATTCTTAAATTACTCACGACTAATTCTGCAGGGTTTTTACGAATACAAAATGACAGAAAAATTCATTTTATACTTGCACACATCTGTAAAACAGTATATTTATATAATACACACACACGCATATTGCATACAATGCATATGAGGTATATATACGTGTATACAACACAGAGTATATATTAACTTACATATATATGTGATTGTATGCAACACACTGAAGTATTTCTCCAAAGGTGAAAGGGTTGTGGCTTTGTTTCCCTTCAATGACATACCAGATTAGGCGTACACCTCCGCACAAAGATGGACGAGACTCGCACTCGAGGAGCAGAATTGAGTTACCAGCTATCGTCATAAAACATCAGGGCTAATTTAATGACACCAGACTACTCGTCAGCTTAACTAGAAGCTCCCATGGCAATTGCATAAGGAATTTGACAGAAAACAACATAAAAACAAATATAAGCAGAATCAAACTCTTTCTGATTGTTTCTTATGTATACCACAGCCTCTCATTATTCGAATCAGTCAGAGGTAACAAGCCCCATGGAGACTTATAGATGCACACTCGTTGTTTACATGGTAAAGCAAGCCATGTCAAGTTTATAAAATATATTTATATATTATGACCAATATTCTTGGGTCTTTCGGTAAAGTCACGTAGATAGGTTCAAAGAAAATAAGATTTTTTTTTTAAAAACGACGTTTCGATCGCAACACAAGCAATCGTCATCAGAAGAAAGAAAAAAATAGCGGGAAAGCTGCTGAGGCAGGATGTTTTGAACCTATTGACGTGACTTTACCGAAAGACCCAAGAATATGAATTCCTACAGTCACGAAAGCTTTAAGTCAAAATATTATGACCAAGTTGAAAAAAAAGCAGTTCGGTTTTTGGATATAACCTATTTTCAGTCAATTACATTTACATCACTCAAATCTGGGTTACAGCGATGTTAGAGTAACCCAACATTTGAGGGTTGCACCGTGACAAAGGGAAATTATTTTGTTTCAGTGTCTTAATCAGTGTTGATATAAAAGTCACCCGTTTACAGTGAGTTTTCGTTAAAAAGCACAAGAGCCAAGCTCGGTTGTCTAGTATACTCGCCACATGACACTGCATGCCGACTTCCGATGATTGCAGTGACAGTGCATGCAGTGCGAATGCTACAAAATAACAACAAGGTCATTGCCTTCAACCGCAGACACGAGCATCTCGCTATGCGGCCACACTGGCTGGTGACCACGTTCGTCAAGTGGGGATAGTTGACTCCCACCCCCTCAGTAACAGACCAGCTTCACTGATTTTGCTCGGGGGTAATTGGCAAAGCATTGTAGCAAAGTTTTGCGGCCATGAGGTCGAATTCACGGATGGAATTGCGCCCGCTCGAAGCAAAACACCAATCAATCCATTGAGATGATGGTACGTAAGCTGTGCTCCACTATAAACCGAACCAATGATCAAACCGCAGGTATCTATATAAATGTATAGATGATTTCCAGTGCCCTTTCTATTATCGATATGCTTTAAGTTATGAGAAGTTTAAAGGGTAGGTGCATTAGATTTAGTTGTGATGTATCCCCTTTTTTACCAGCTGAGTTGAGGTTTCATCAGTTGGCGATGTCAGTTTTGTTCACCTCGAAGCTGCTGTATTAGTTTTTTCAGATGGATCTCACCATTTGTGAGACCTCTGTCATCATTGTGCGAATAGGATAGCAGGCCAGTACTGTGCTGATGACCCCTAATGAGGTAGAACCAGCATACTTTTTTTCTTCCAATGTCTCAAATATTCAATTTTAAAAATATATATACTTTGAATGTTTTAGGCTGGTGGCTAAAGTTGTGGTACATATACGGTGTAGAGTATATGCGATTTTGATGACACTTGCATGCTATCGTGGCCACAATTTTAGCTCCGCATTGTTTATTTCACCATCTTTGTCACCGGGCCTGCTCATGTAATTGCTGGCTCAGGGAGTTCTTCTCCCTCGATAAATTGTAGTGGTGGGGGGGGGGGGATTGTTGTCCCTCAGAATCTTGCCAATTGGACAATGGCTCAAACACCACCGCCGCGGGTGGGTGACCTTTAGGCCGAAGAGCAGGTGGACGGTGGCTGTTGGGCACTCGCGTGCTGCCTGTAAGGAACCCTTTCCAGTGGTGTTCACACCGTAGAACAGTCAAGAGCGACTCGTGACACGGACATCGCAATAGGAATTATTAAATGTGCGTTACAGGGAAATGGGCATGCTCAGCAATTTGATATAAGCCATTTAATTCTTACTATAACCCATTCACTTGCTGGTATATGTACAGTAATTAAAGAATTTATATTCAAAATACGATTATTTCTATAAAAGATTGCAACAACCCATAAATCAGACATACTGTATAGTCCTCCATTTCTGCTTTCATTGCTTAATTTTTAATCAAATTAGAGTAGATTGTGTTTGTAAATGCATTTCTGGAAAGTATTGCTGATATTTTTAATTTGACAATCACATTAAATTACACTTGTCAAATGAATACTAGTAATAACAACAGTCCTGGCTAAGTGAACGAATGTAATATATTAGATGATGTTTACCATATTCAGATTATTAGATAATCTAGATGAGTAAGACGCGCCCTAAACTCGCTCCCAGTGTTCATGATGAAGTTGTACAAATATGGTCATACACACATACCGACTGGATTGTAAGACTTATGCCAACTGTTGCTTTACAATACTGGGACAAGAGTGCAACTTAATAATCCAGAAAATATGGTGACTAATGTCTTGGAAGCTCGTATTAGTAATAAGAATGTGTGCCAATTGTTGAGGCAGGTAATGAACTGCTATATCTTTATGCAGAAAAGACTTGTTAAATGGTTACATTCAGCTAACAGGAAATTACAGGAAATTGATATCGATGTTTTTGCAGGAGCTCTGTTGAATGGAGCATAGGAAAACGGGCGGGCATATGGGAACTTAAACTATGAGCTAGAGTTGTGCATTTTAACGTGTGATTAACCGCACACTGCGAGCGTACACCACAACTACATTTAACACCTTTCACACCGTTTCCCACAACCACGATCTATGGTGAGTAGCAAAGCCCTCTTCCAGGCACTTAGCTTGGACAGCCCACTCAGACGAATGCTACTCCTGTGTATTTACTTTGTGCAATGAGTAAAGCGACAAAAGTCAGGTCTGAGATATATATTGTTTGCATCAACACCGCATACTATTTCTCCACACAATCAGCAGCACAGATGTATTTTGGTTGGTCCTTGAGCTATGGCTGCTTTCACAGCCACTTCACTGGCAAACCACCTTCCATGTCCCACTTGGGCCCTGCTGGTGTAATACTATCAAGATCCACGCCATGCAGAGATTCTCTCGGATTTCCAAACATGTGGGAGTTCAAAGGGGCTACATTTGGGATGTATGCTGGATTCGTCAGATTATCCCATCCAAGCTTTCCTAACAATTTCAGCGTTGCACGTGCAGAGTGTGAGCACTCAAAAGTTCATGCTGACATATCGCTTCCCTTTTCCGAGAGTCCACAGTGGTTTTAAAGAATGTCGGACTTCTTTATGTCTACAGGTTACAAGGTGAAGCACTGGTGACTTAATTTGCTGCCAAGTAACTGTTATCAGACACTTCATGGCCCCCCAAAAATTTGCATTTGTATATTAAATCCTACTCTGGGCGCCATGGTAGCAAGATATTAACTACCTCACCCGGTATACAGGAAGCCGTGGGTTCAATTTGGATCCTGAAACCTGTATATTTGGAGTTTGCATTTTCTTCCCGTGGTTAGATTTTTCTCCGTGTCCTCCAGTTTTCCTCCACATTTATAAACGTGCGTTTAGAGTATTTAGCTGCTATACATTTCTACCTAATATGCCACTTCGTTGAGCTATAATTTGTGGTCAGTTCGCTTCTGAAAAAAAGCTATATATCTCAGTGGGCTTTACCTGGTATAGCTCAATGAAGTGGCTTATCACGTGGACATTTATAGCGGCCATATAGTCAAAACCCATGTTCTATGGTTCTTTCGGTAAAGTCACGTAGATAGAAAAAAATAAAACCCATGTTTCAAAATGTGGAGGGAAAAATCCGCTCGACCACGGGGAGAACGTGCAAACTCCAAATATGCAGGCTTCAGGGTCGGGCTCAAACCCACGATCTGCTGTATAGCAGGCGAGGTAGTTAACATCTCTCCACTGTGGCACTCTATGCTCGTCGTGATCGTAAATGTGTCCATGATTTATATATTCACAACTATATTGTAGCTTCATACTTTGATAACTTCAAATTGTCTCAAAGGATAATATGTGAATAATAGCTAACTGTTCTTCTTATGTGCAGTTATAGAAGAGCAAGACTCCATATTTTATTGTGATAATGTGTGCATTTCGGTGAACGTTTCTGGAAAGAGAAAACATTGAGTACAAGGGCCACGTCCCATTAATTAAACAATGTTTTACTGATATTGCACTGGCATCGGATACATCACTATGAAACTTGTTGTATTACAACCCTCACATTGAAGCCATACACACATACTCTACAATGACAAATTATTTCCCAGGTGTAGCCCTGTAGACTGCTACAAAGACCAAGATCACCCATTTGACCACAATGTTGGGCAGTTGATACGAGAAAGTTCCCATAAAAATTGGCATGACACATATACTGTTGGTTTACACACGTCGCCATATATATTTCAGATGAAGCTTACCTATGGGAGCCCCTGTACATGTTTATATACCACTCGCTAATATGTACAACCAACTATTAATCCTACATCTTGAGAATCATGGATCTTTATATAAACAACAGCATCCCTCTCTCTTAAACACAGATAGCACGTTGCCTTCTAAACTGTGGGGCAAGCGATTTGGTGAGCACCTTGTTTGTATGTTGAACTTCTTTCGCACCGTACGTAGCCAACCGGGCTAATCGTAGGTGTCGGGGAAGGACGACAAAGGCTTAAGGTTGGCATTGCAGGCATGCAGAGTTCCATGGCCGGCTCCATTTCTCTGCAGTGCTGACGTTTACAGACCGGCAATAGGCACTCACTTGAGGCAGAGTTGACCTGGTGAAGACGGAGCCCATGTTACCTGCTAAATGACATGCCAACGTTGTTATACATAGCTCGTAATTGAATCCAAGACACTGGGATCGTCACATAGCGTAGTTCTAGCCGAAACACCTCGATTATTATTACACACAATATACCGCCTTCACTCACATACATACATATGTATACAAGGCACAGATAAACATTTGCATCGTAATAATATGTTACGAAAAAGGTAAACAGCCCACAGGTATTGGTAACGCTGAAATGTATGTTCTGTTAGGCCAAAAGCAGCCTGAATGCAGAGTTGTAAAACATTTCACAGCAGAAGGCAGGCACTACTTCTCACAGAGGTGGGTTGCTTTTGGGATATGCCCACTCCTACTGCAAATGTTTAACTTCTATTGTAAAATGTATTTTGTGTGATAAACCGTAGCACATACCTTTAAAGTGTTGCTGTGCGATGGACTGCAGCGTGTATCCTAGATTGCCAACACGGTTGTTGGGACAAACACCGTCTGCCAACAAACCACTTGATATACAGCTGCAGCTCATTAATGGTGTCTATTAGCGTTGGGGAACCCATAACTTGTACAGCATTGACCCAGAGACGGTGATTACAGTAAATATTAAAGTATTAAATTGCAATTAGTATGCATGCCACAGTCGTATTTTTCAAGTGTGAGTTTAGATGTAATATGAACACACTTGTAAAATTAATCCAGTGTATGAACCGGTGTGTGTGTGCTCAGCTAAGCAGCTCGATGACGCTTTGATTCAGCTTTAGGGAATTCGGCACAGCGATTGATTGCAACGAGTAGAATTATCTTTGGATGTGGCAACAAATATCTAACGGAAGTGACAACAAACAAAATCACAGCGACGACAGGCAGATTGCTGGCAGGGCTTTAATTTCTCATGGAATATATTCCTGGGCCACACCCCTCAAGCCCTCCCCCCCCAAAGCCTGGCCCCCTCCCCTCCCCCCTACCATTCAAAAGCGGGCGAGGGGGCGGGCAGTCATATATTCAGAGCTTAGCCCCGGACAGCTCCCACTGAAATGAAGCCCTGTGATTTGCAGTTGACGAGGTTAGATTTCTTACGGTTCACTTTTTGCATTGTTGCAAATGCCGTGTTTTATTTGACTGTCCGTGTGTGTATGTATGCTGACATCTTATTTACAGCAATTGCTCAGCCAACTTATTTGCAAGTTAAATTAAAACATGACGTTAAAATGCAACAGTGTTTGTTATGTATAATCTGATCGATTGTAACACGATTGAATGGATACAAAATCATGAAACATTTATCATACTACAATTAGTTGACATCATTTTAGCAATTCTAAGTGAATACGAATGTGTGTACTTTAAAATGTTCGGATTATAAATCGCTTCCCTTGAAGAGGTCACATAATTGGGTTGCTGCTCAAATTTAGTTCGACATTTCGTTCTTGTAAACTTTCAAATTAATATTTACGTGACTTTACCGAAAGAACCAAGCATATGCATTCCGGCAGCCACGAAAGTTTTAAGTCTAAAATTCATATTTTTATTCACACGAAGTTGGGTTTTCACAAAGAGACTTTGTGTAGTAACATTCTGCCCTCTGGTTGGCTGCTCGGCGTGTGCGACGGGGATCATTAACATAATTTTTATACTTATCACCATCGCACAGGCTGGCTGGCCGCTTGCTGAGCGTTACCTCACGTGTTAATGACTCGTAAACGTGATGATGCAAACTTCTAATAATAAAATAAAGGTGAGACCAAATCCGTGCAATAATTAATAAGCCTGGGCTGAAAATGCAACATTATTTGCAACTCTCCGCCGGAAAGTGTTATGGTCAGTCCCTGCCTTACGAACGGGTTCCGTTTCTGAGGCTCATTAATTAGTAGAACTGATCGTAAGTCGACACCCTGATTGGACGAAAAGCCCCACTTACGACAACACGGAGATAAATTTCGTGAAGAAAAAAATATGTTTAAAGAGAACTTGAAAAAAGAACCGCCGAACAATTAGGTTTGGTGGGGCGATCCTCCACCAGCTTCAATGAGTCCTCACGTCACTGCTGGTAGTGTGTGTGTTGAGACTGTGTGTACATGCGTGTGTGTATGTGTGTGTATGTATGTGTCCTGGCAAGGATTATTCAACATCGCCTTGCTAGGCACTCTGAGGAGAGGCTTGCAGAGCCCCAATGCGGTTTCAGGAAAGGGCGGTCCTGCACAGATGCCATATTTTCTGTCCGTATGCTACAGCAGAGGTGTAGGGAATTCCAACAAGACCTACATCTCTGCTTTATTGACCTGGTCAAGGCCTATGATACCATCAGTAGGCCTGGGCTCTGGGTTGTTCTTCGTGCTTTCAGAGTCCTTGACCCTCTGCTCACGATCATTAAGGACCTTCATGATGGTGGGTAAAACTACGTGGCCGGGAGTCAGAGCCTTTCCCTGTACACCTTGGGGTGCGACAGGGATGTCCTCTGGCTCCCACATTATTTAACATCTATTTCGACCACCTAGTTCATGAAGCCTTCAATAGCTGTACCGGAGGAATTTCTCTCTGGTACAGATACAATGGGAAGCTGATCGATGCCCGGGTGCGATCAAGGGATGGCTCCCTATTGGTCAACCACGTTATGTATGCCGATGATTTGGTAATAGCTGCTCATTCAGAAGAGGAGTTGGATGCGCCACTGCTGAACCTGGAGCTTGCCACGAAGAGGTGGGGACTTACCATCAGCCCCACCAAAACTAAGCACCTGCCTGGGTATGTTCTACCATCGGACACTCCACCCCCACAACTCCCAATTGGTGATGGGGCAGTTGTGGAGAGAGTGGAGAGTTTCCCATACCTGTGTAGTGTAGTGAGTTCTGGAGACGTCGGAGACTTATCTTGGAGGCAACACTTTTATTCACAATACATGGCAATACAGCCCCGGCTCACTCAAGGCAACGGCCCTTCTATACCCACTGCTTGGGGAGGTATTGTCTCCGGGCTAGCGTGCCCTAACACGGGACCACTACTCTGGGTCCTCCGGCTACGGGTGCCTAGGGGAGGCTACTCTAACCCGACCTAGCCAGGGTGCAGGTTCCGACCACTGGCCCACTCGGACCCGGCCCTCACAAGGACGTCGAGCTGGGGGTTCCCAGGGTCTCACCACTGAGCCACACAGAGTTCCTGAACAACTTTTGTTCGGCCGGATAGAGGGGGCTAAACGGGCGCGGAACGGGCTCGAGAAGAGATGGAGTGATGTGGTACAGGAGGATGTGGAGCTGAGTGGACTTGCTGATGACTGGTACCAGCGGTGTCAAGATCTGCCTCTGTGGAGGAGGCACGTGAAGGATGCTACTGGGCAGTTGGAGGCAGTCTCCCTCCAACAACAACGTATGGGGCAGGAGCGGCACTCACAACAACGAGCGGAGCGACGGGTGGCTAAACCACAGCAAGTTGGCACAGTAGGGGACACGGGTGGTGCATCAGCCAGTCATCTCAGTCAGTCAACCCGTGGCACCTGGGTCTGCTCCGTGACCTCCTGCCAGCTGGCGTTCGACACTTCACATGGCCTCAACGTGCACATAGCCTGGCACAAGTGTCGTGGTGATGTCACCGCCACTTAGTGACGAATGGCGGTTGTTGTTGTGTGTGCATATAATGGGCAGCGGTAGTGTAGCGGTTAGCATGCTGCGCTCCACCCGGCGACCCGAGTTCGGTTCCCTCTCACGGCCAACACCAGTGACGATTACTTGAACCGGTCCTGGGCCTCCCCTAGGTCGACTCAGCCTCTAATGAGTACCCGGTGCGGTGTGTAAACATCGCCACTGGGGACACAAAGACGGCCGGGCGTGGTGTTGATCACCCAATCCCCTCATGTGCCGTGCCGGCCTTCATAGGTGCACATGCCTCTCCAGTCTGTTAAGGATACACAGGGGGTTCTTTGTGTGTGCGTGTGAAATAACATTTACTGATAAGTGGCGCTCTGCTCATCATAAAATCCTCGCGGAAGTTCCGCGGGTTCCTGCTAGTTTTTAATAGTAATCCTTCAGCAGTCCCCTGCAATTTGTACTGCAAACTTAAATTTCTGTTCATAATAAACAGCGCCCTGTTGTTATGGCACATAAGTGTAGGACAAATAATGGGGACGAAGCTTCTGTCAGTGGTGACGAGGAAAGTGCCCTGTGCTGTGATGATTCGTTCCCATTGTTTCACACTTGAGTGCATCACCACCACCACAGTGTTTAGGGGCACAATGGTGGACACGTTAACTCCCATACCTGGACATGCAGGAGGACGTAGGTTCGATCCAAACCCTGAAACCTATATATTTTGAGTTAGCATGTCTCTCTGTCCTGTGAATTCTTCTTTGGGTACTCCGTTTTTTTCCCTCCACATTATGAGTAATTGGCTGCTATAGATTTCTGCACGATAAGCCACGGCCAGGTCGCTTCTGAAAAATAACTACGTAGCTCAGTGGGCCTTACTTGGTAAAATAAAAATAGTGAATCGAAATATTCAACAAGAAGGTGGGGATATTCGTGGATAATTGCTTTGCCTTTCCGAGTCAGGGCTGCTGTACACCTCTGGCAGCTGGGTAGCCGATTTGCCTCAGTAGCCATGCTCACGACGAAGCCAGCTTTTCAAGGGGTTCAGTGATTTGATTTCCCCAATTATGCACATACCCTGGGAAATAATGCTGGTGTCACAGCAAAAAAAACGCCAAATTGTAACATTACTCAAAACTGAAAAAAGTTATTTTCTCTAGAATATGCAGACCTCTGAAAATATTAAATGAAGGTCAACTAGATTTGCCATATTTGAATAACAGGCTCCGACTAGACTGCAATGCACATGGCGCACAGTTACTGCATATTTCGATGCATTGCAACTACAAATCTCTCTATTAAGAGAAACCCTAATGACTAAAAGAAACACACAACAACAAAATTAAGAATATCATCACCCATCACGGTCAATCCACTGCTGGATGAAAGCCTTCCGAAGTCGCCACTAACTCTCACCATCCACCCAGCATCTGCACACTTGTAACGCTCCATCTCTTCGCTGCACGTGCTTTTGGGCGCTGGCACTCCGCAATTATTCTTAACCATGGACCATCGCCCCTTCTGGTGAAGAGTCCTGCCCAAGCCAATTTTATTTTCTTAATAATTAGAGTTATTCAGTTACCCTGCATGTGTTGTATAATCTCCGTGTTCCTCTTTCCATGTATCTTTGCACACCTTTCAAATGTTGGTCCAATATCTTTGTCAACGTAGACATTTATCAGCCATGAGCCATAGTAGGTAGTACTCTGTAATTAAACACATAATTTGAGCATTTTGGTACGTTAACCTCGCACAGCGATTGAATGTGGACCGGAACAAAAACCAAGAAATTAAGAGGTGGATGATAGCGGGATTGGCTTGCCTTTGGAAATGTTTTCTCATTAATAAAAAGCAACAACTATATTGTGTCGAAAACATTTGTACCGCGATGCAGCTATGATGGAATCACAATCACTTATCTCCTTGCTTACACAGCTTAGCACACATCAAACTAAAGCCTCGTGTTATGTTCCTATTTTAAGGCCAACAATATAGGAAGAGTTGATGAAAGTAAACAAAACTATAAAAACTAATTCTGGCCATAACCGCTTGTTAAACTAACGCTTACAAATATCTGCTAAAAGCTGTTTTGCCAAGTTGGAAAAGTATTGCTCATTCTTTTACTTTGGAAATGGTAAAAATGGTTAGTATGTCTACATTAAATCACTCTCCATTTTTCTCTTTGAAAATGTCATCTGAATCCTGACAAATTGTAAAAACTAAGAAAACGATTTTACAAGGCACCAAAATCATTACCAAAACGAAATGCCACAGGTCTGGTGGCAGCTACAATGGATGGCATTCCGATTCGCACTTTTACAAATGCCATCACAGAGTGGACGCTTCTCACACTCGTCTTCTTGAATCAACAAACTGAAACTCGACGAATGGTCAACTGTTATTGCTTGGTAGATGAGTGCGGCACGTATGCTACATTTGACAAATATTGGCTTTTCATTGCCTCGGTACAAGTGAAAAAAAACATGGAATCGCATCTCATTTTACACTTACCAAAAGTTACATTTTGAAATGTAGTGTACATATGCAAGGGCACAATTATATGCGTGCATTATACGCAATAATATGTATAATTTACAGCATATATGTACAGTACAATTGCACGGCTAAGACTGACTGGGGACTGAGGTATAGACAGATATGTGAAAATAACAGATAGGTGGACATCAATAGAAACGTCAATTACACCGCTATGTACCAATATTACACTGGGTGTGGGTGGTTAATTGGTGAGGATGGATATGCGAATGTCAGATATGTGACGGTGTACTGTACACATATTTATCAATATGCATATTACACAAAGTAGATTTCAAAAATATTTGATTAGAATGCCATGACTTAAGAGCTCAAATGGCATATGCCGGAATGTATGTTGAATAACGGTGGCCAAGATGGATCGCTCCAACCTTTGAAAGGAAATAACAGTAACGGCGACGATCTTAAACCTGCGTCT